GTTAAAATAAGACAAAAATCAAGAATACTAATTTGTTAATTGAGGTTTCGTTAAAAAGTTATTAAAAAATTTCAAATCATTCTGAAAAAATTACTTTTGGTTGCAGGGGTCGATTACAATCATTTTTGGTCATTACACATACCCCCGAAATCCTACACATATTCGAGAAAAAAATTCCTTAATTTCCGAAATTTCATGCGAATCTTTGAAACGTCATAACTTCTAAACTGGATTGGAGGATTGGAATGTTTCAACGGCAAACAACGCGTATTTTGGTGAAGAATATTTCAAAACTCCAAAAACATTCAAGAAGTTGATCCTTGACCCCGCAAAATGAGAAAACCCCCATAAAAATGGTCAAATTTTTAAACTACCATAACTCTTGCAACAGTGAATATATTTGAATAAAACTTTTTTCTGACGCAGAGCCTATGGGTACCTACAAAAAAGTATTAGATAACTTTTCTGTAGGGCGTCAAACAAAATTACTAAAACTCAAAAACGAATTTTTAAGAAAAATTTCAAATCATTCTAAAAAAATTATTTTCGGTTGCAGGGGTCGATTACAATCATTTTTGGTCATTACACATATCCCCGAAATTCTACACATATTCGAGAAAAAAATTCCTTAATTTCCGAAATTTCATGCAAATCTTTGAAACGTCATAACTTCTAAACGGATTGGAGGATTTTAATTTTCAAAAATGCAAACAACGCGTATTTTGGTGAAGAATATGCAGAAATTCTAACAATATTGAAAAAGTTGTTCCTTGACACCGTAAAGTGAGAAAAATCACCTAAAAACTGGTCAAATTTTCAAGTTCCGCGTGTAGAACGGCAATCTGCGTACAGCTCATCGACATCCTAACAGTTTTCTGAGTGAGAACCACGCGTGTACGCAATACAATATTACCCAAATAAACCCTACACCGAACACAGTAGTGTGGTCACACTGACAGGGCCATTTAAACGAAGGCGACGAGGGCAAATAAAGATTCTTAAAGAAAGTCGCTACGTTTTCGCTACGTTATTCTTCACCTCACTGGCTCAAGGGGGATCCCCCTAGTGGTGGTGATAAAAATGTATCATTTATCAAGTTTTCACTGTAATACCAAACGGGAGAAATTATAAGATGTGCTATCTTTTGGTCCTGAAATCTATGTACCCTGTTACAACCACCCCCCGGTATTAGAATCCGCTTTAACCCTGATTAACGCTTGAAAACTCTCGAAAACTTTGGTAGCGTTATGCTTCGCGGTGTACTACCAACGCGAGCAACGCGTTAAAAGATACGAAGGTGACCGTGAAAGGGTTGGATAACGCGTTTTCCGCGCGATAGACTCGTCGACGTTTGGTATAAAAACGTAGCGATCCTGTAATCCCGTCCAAGTGTCTCGAGCGTTTCCGAGAGGCGGAAAGCTCGCGCGCGGTTTTACGCTCGCCACCGGCGCGGAGAGTTAATCCTGTAAAGTGCGAGCGAGATGTTGCCCCTTTGATCTCGCACAAAAGCCGCCACACGGCATTGACCGTGGTTTATATACGCTCATGTATGGGCCACTGTCTTTGCTAGCTCACTCATTCATTAAATTCGTTGTATAATTAGGCTCGGCAGAAAGACGGATACTGTCAACCCGCGGATTCATATGCAGCCGCGCGACCCCGGAGACGAGGGAAAAGAGACGTCTCCAACCCGCCCCTGAATTTATGCTTGTTGGGCCGTTCTTCGCCCCGGCCACGCTCTCCTCTCTCCCGAATCTCGCCTCTTCTTTTTACCCCCGGCGAGATGTCGCTGCGAGACGGCCCCGTTGAATTGCGTCGGTCGATCTAATTATAAAGCGCGCGAGAAGAAGCGGGAATTTAACCGCCACGGTCACCGGCCACGGCTCCCTGGGTCCTTTAGTTTTTCACCTAACGACAATTCGTTTGCTACCTAGCAATAATACGACGCGATCAAATGTTTCTTGAGATCGAACAGCGGCGGCTGACCCATCCGTGAGCAAGATAATCTTAATTAATAGTGTAGGAGACGAGTGTTTTCCGTCGTTTCGCATCGATCGTGAAGAACGGCTGAGTGATCTGAACGTGTCGACTCTAATTGAATGTTTGAATGTATGAGTGCGTTGGCCATAGAGATGGAATGTTGGGAAATGTTAAGAACATTCGGGAAAGATTACCGGATGTGGAACTGGCAAGTATTGAATTGCGTGAATGTGTCGACCCTGAACGATTGCATGATTGGATGTATGAATGTATGAAGCATGGAAACGAAACGTTGTTGCGAAACGACGGGAATGTTCTGGAAACTTCTCCGGATATGGAACCGGCGGATGTTTGAGACAAAAAGGTTTAAAAGGACGCGTTGAGTAGGCATCAGGGTCTTTTGCCGGTCGATTCGACGACGAAACGATTGTACGTGACGGTGATTACGATTATAACGATTTTGTGAATATTATTTGTTTGGTGTTTGTTCTTGAGTTAATAAAGTTCCTTGTTCCATGTGTTGTTAATTCGCGAGTTCTGATTAAGTGATTAAATTACAATTTTAATCCTACAATAGAGTGAAAACTCGATAAATGTCCTCCAGAGCTGTTTCGTAAATGATACATTTCTATCCCTACTACTAGGGGGACCCCCCTTGAACCAGCTAGGCTCTTTAAAAATCTTTATTGAATGCCCCTGCTAGTATGACCACGCTACTGTACGGAAGAAAGTTTTTTATTTTTTACTTTTTGTTAATAACAATTTTGCTGTCACGTGGTGGAGATTATTCTGATTAAAATGAGACTAAACGCGATATAAATTGATCAGTATTTGGTAGCATAATATTGAATTAAATATTGCACTTGCGAGTCTTTCTCCCTTTGTTTGTTCTTCTTGTGTTGTCCCTTTCTAGCTTCGTAAACATCAAAGAACGACGTATCGAGGATTTATTTTTAATTATATTAATAAATTATAATTATACAGATTTTAGTCTAAATTGATCTATACCAATCAAATTACGTGATAAAATCGGTATTTTCCCATCTTCGATGAAATTTAATTTTTTTTACATAAACAAAGCCGTTGTGGCACGTCATTCTGTTATCCAATAGACTTGATTTTTTATAGAAATTATTTTTTCCCGAAATAGAACAAGTTGGAGGGTTCGCATGATGGAAATTTAAAAAAAATTTTTTCGACACTTACGAATAATTTTACGATCTTCTCTCTCGCGGTGGTACAATGTTTACGTCTTAAATTTGCAATGGTATTAAGTAGTAAATATTTTTTGTAAACTTTGTCGACCGCATTTTTAGAAAAACTGTGCTTTTTTTTGCTACTGTACAGTAACTTAATTTATTTCGACAATTCGCTATAATCGAATTACGAATTTGATTTGAAAGTTCTTGTTTTACTTAGATTCCTGCTGTTTCCTTAGAAATGATCTGTTTTATGCGGAGCTTACACACCAACCAAATAGTTCATTTAACCATTTGACTAATCAATTTCAAATTTTGCGTAGAAAAAAAAATTCAAAAATTGAAAAATAAGGTCCACTCTAGTGGTCATACTACATACTGATTTTGTATTTTTGTATATTTTATTGCCAAGTATACTTTATTGCAACACAAAGGTAAATATTAATTTCAATTTTTTGCTAAATAATCTATGCACCATAAAGATATACGATATATAAAACTTAAGGTGCGAATCTCGTGTGAATCATAGAAAATTGAACTATTTTTCTTAATTTTTTTCAAGGAATTATGATTCTTTTTTGCAGTCCACCTAGCTATCCTTTGGGAATACAAGATAACTTTTTTATTAATTTTTATTAACTTTTAATATTGTTATCACCTCCGCAGCTCTCAAGGTTGACTAAATAAAAAAAATCAAAAAGATTTTTATTCGGTAGGTTTACAGTTATCGCCCGTACCAAAATAATCAATTTACGTTTCAAATTGACAAAATGGTGAAAGCTTCAAATAAAAATTGCAAAATTTCCTCATTTCTTTTGCAATTTTTTAATAAAAATGATACGATAAACTGATTATAACAATTTGATTTTGGCACAGGTGAGAACTGTTGGTATGTGTGAATAATGTATAAAAATTTCAAAGCAATCGAACGTATAGTTTTCGAGATTTTATTGTACGCCAGTTAAGAAAGTAACGTTTCGAGAGAAACGCATTTAACACTAGAACTATCGAACCAGTCAAAATGACTCATAATTTCTAATGAAACCTGTAAAAAATTTACTCGACTGAATTTTTGGAAAATCGTAACTTTCTATAAGAGAATGAATAAATACTTATTTCCATTGCATTATACATTTCTTCACGCACCTATCGTTTCAATTTCCTTGATACAAATAAACACACTATAATTGTCGGTAGTTCTAGTGTTAAAGTCTTCAAGATCATAGACATTAATCTCAGCTCCATATAGAATTACCTAGATGACAAAAACGCTCAAAATTTCAACTTTAAATAACAGTAGATGTCTTTTGACTCTGTCGTGAACCTTTCGAAACAGTAATGTCTGGGCTGTACATGGTAATCACTTGAAGCAATGACTCCGGTAATTACCGCGTGGGTTATACAAAAAATGTTCTACACTCCACAATACTTGACATTTATCTCTCAAAACTTAACAGTAAATTCTTAAATATATATACTCTCAAAAAAAAATTGATATTTTTGAGGTCTCACACGAGACTCCCCCCTTAAGTGCATAGTAATTACACTGCTTCGATTAAATTTAATTCATATTTCCCCTGCCTGTCCACTTGATTCTGTCCGCGACTGTATACGCAGGTAGGATCGTGGAAAGGATACGAGAAAACGACCCGACGACGAAGAGAAGAGCAGAAAAGGAAGAAGATCCTAGGTATCTCTCCCCACCAGAGACAGAGGTGGTCCACGGAACCGCCTCCGCGATCTACCATCCCACGTTTGGTGCGTGTGCCAGACGTGTGCTCGACGTTTCTGCCTCTTTCGTGGACCAACCTGTGTGCCTGGTCCCTGAACGGACCTCCACAGCCTCACCGATCCGCGTACGTGTTTCTTCTCTAGTCAGTCAGTCAGTCAGTCAGTCAGTCAGTCAGCCATCGGAGTCTCCTTGATCCGCTCGCCGCCCGTGCGTTCTCGACGATCGTATCCGACGAGTGAATCAAATCGTTCGCGGTTGGACGTGTTCCGAAAGTAGTGGACGGGTTCGATCGATGACGGATCTCGGCGCGCGAAGGTATCGACGTTGAAAAAAAGTTTGTCAACGCGTCGCGATGGATGTCCATCCGGCCCGATAACGGACGGTCTAGGAGAGAGTGACGGAAGTCGATGCAACGCGGATACCGTGCTCGAGAGGAGGGAAAGGACCCAGGAGTCAAGAGCCACCGATAAATAACGAGACGCGATAACCCCTGGGATTAATTATCGACTTCTTTCGACCGCGTCGATTCTTTACGATGAGCCTCTTCTCACACTTCACGCGAAGGAGGAAGAGTCCGCGATAAACGGGGAAACGATAAGCTCGATATTTCGCCGAAATTCGTTCCTTTCGACGACGATCGGTACATCGCTGGCGCGGGGGGGATTTATCTCCGTAGACCGACAACGAGAAACTCGTTGTCCGCGTTGCGAATGCGGAGAACGGATAGATAAGTGATTAACGAGAGGATTCGAGAAGATGGAAGTTCACCGCGATAACGGTGTATCGACGGCCACGGAATCGAAAGCGGGACCGTCCAGCGGCGAGCAGTACAGCAGCTCGTTGGACGACGCAGTGGGCAAGTTGCTACAAGGTTCGCTCCTATCTCGTTATTAACACTAGATTGCCAAAGGAAGTCATTTCGACTGCTTTTTAATTTCAATTGGAAAAACAATTATGTATATAATGACACAATTTCTTAGAATTTTGTGACTTTTTGTACAACATATAAATGCGTTTATCAATAATTGTAGTTACCTCCCCCCTCCTTCATTTCCGGTATTATGTGTTATACCTATATTGCCAAAAAGCAGTCATTTTGACTGCTTGGGAAATTTTAAATAATCAAATGACTCTTATTATTGAATCGAGCAAATTTCTTGTATGACCAGTTCGGCCCTGTATCGAAATAACAGTTTTCATTTTTTTTCGATTACCAACACGTGATAACGTACAAGTACATGATAAATTGTCGATTTTGGCGTATACTTGATAAGTTGCAGTTTCTCAATAAGCTAAAGTAGTACTTGTTAGTCGAATCTTTATGCAGTGATACTTTTTCTAACAAGTTGTTTATTTTATTTCTTTTGTGCCCTAAATTCATAATATTAAAAATTAATTTTAAACAAATTTCTTTGCACATTAGTTATTCTTTCACGGTGCGGTCATTTTGACTGCTTTTGGGCAATATAGGTATATACTAAGTTTCAGTCTTTCTAGTGTTAACCATTCACGGTCCTGCGTAAACCCCGACGCGACTTCCTGTTTCGTTGCAGCTTGTAGCGCTCCTACAGCGAGGAGGTTTTTAACAAAAATAATTTACTAGCTCGGGGGAAAAGAAATCCATTATTTTCATGTTCATACATGTACCGTTTTGTTTCGTAATCTGTCGCCATTCGATTTCGTTTCGTTTGGCCAAGATTTCGCGGATGGAAATTCGATCCATCGTGTTTTTTTGCGTCAATTGTGTGTGGCACCCAAACATCGAGCTTCTTTTTCGATCCAGCTTTATACAAATGATTTGAAACTGTTTTGTGGTCAATCTTTAGCTCCTGGGTGGTGCTACTTCGATCATTTCCACGATTTTATCGACGTTTTCGACATTGGCTGTGAGAGTATCGGAACCATAAACACTACTCGCAATTACAGCCGCCTGGCTTGAATTTTCGCCTTTGTCGAAGCAAAAATCGTAAAATATACCGAATCGAAATCTCTTTGGTAAATTCCACCCTGTACACCTTAAAACTCACAACTGAATCGACCAATCAGAAAACTGTAAAAGAATTTTTTTTACTGGGGAATATCGCTTTTCCAACGATCACAGGTCTCAATTTGTTTGGTCAATACTTTACGAGATATATATCACTGCAACCATCTAGGTGAAAAATAATGGACCTAATATATTCAATATTTTCACGCAGAATACAAAAGAAAGAAAATACTTAGTATTATCAAAGAAAGTGTAACATTTGTGATATCGTTATTATTTCGCTTCGTACAACGCAACTAATTTTGAGCAAACGTTACAGATTTTGATAACATTTCATAAATGTTTAACCTCGATAATTGCTTCGATACGTTTGGTCATACTTAATACTTGCACTCTTTGCCAGAAATCAGTCATAGTTGTCGAGGGAACACTTATTTTCTAACTTCGTTTTTCAATAGGGTTCATGTCTGTTATCGTTACCATGATTTGAAATGGGTGAGTTTGCAGCCAGTTCTGAATTAAAATCAAAAGTAAATCCTTATACTAATTGAAATTGATACAAACCGTACAGTATAATAAATATTTTGAAATTGTCCTATATATTACGTATGGGGAATATGTGAGAATAACATGTAAAATACGATAATCGTCTAGCTAATGCTGAAATGAATAATTTTTTAATTACGCTAAGTTTTACAAGGTTTCAAGCAGGTATACGGGTTTTACCTTGCGCTAAAAAATAAGAATGATTTTATAAAATCAACCGTTTATGCACGTTAATAAAAATCATCAAAAATTTCAGAATAATATGTACAGGGTGATTAATATACAGGGTGTTCGACCACCCCTGGGAAAAATTTTAATGAGAGATTCTAGAGCCAAAAATAAGACGAAAATCAAGAATATCAATTTCTTGATTGAAGCTTCGTTAAAAAGTTATTAACAATTAAATTCAAGAATTTCAAAACGTTCTGGAAAAATTATTTTCGATTGCGGGGGTCAATTACAATCATTTTTGGTGAGTAGACATACCCCCGAAATCCTACCCATTTTCTAGAAAAAAATTCGAGAAGGTGTGAAATTTTTCGAGGGGAAAAAAAAATTTCAAATCGTTCTGGAAAAATTAATTTCGGTTGCGGGGGTCAATTACAATCATTTTTGGTGAGTTGACATACCCCCGAAATCCTACCCATTTTTTAGAAAAAAATTCGAGAAGGTGTGAAATTTTTCGACGAGAAAAAAAAATTTCAAATCGTCCTGAAAAAATTATTTTCGTTTGTGGGGGTCAATTACAATCATTTTTAGTGAGTAGACATAACCCCGAAATCCTACCCATTTTCTAGAAAAAAATTCGAGAAGGTGTGAAATTTTTCGAGGGGAAAAAAAAATTTCAAATCGTTCTGGAAAAATTATTTTCGGTTGCGGGGGTCAATTACAATCATTTTTGGTGAGTAGACATAACCCCGAAATCCTACCCATTTTCTAGAAAAAAATTCGAGAAGGTGTATCTATGAAATCAAAATAAAATGTTTTACAGTGCCAATCCCGTTATTTAATAGACACATCTCGTAGTATGTACCTAGTATCAAAAAACCCTGAACGGTTTCTTTAAAATGGGCCTTCGTTTTCGAAATATTTTCATTTAAATTTGGATTGTTCATTTGTACACCTAATACAGGTTATGAAACAGCCTGTATAGGCGGGTTGTCTTGATCGGGTCGTTTAGGGAGGACACTTTAATTGGCGCTGAAAGTCGGCTTCGTCGGCCGCTGGCTCCTCAGATTTATCCGAGAGATACCTTAGGCCAGATGGAGGGAAACACGAGCGAGCATGATGGAAGAGATAGAAACGTAGGGGAGGAAGGAGGCAGAAGAGGACCGCGGAAAAGACGATTCCGAGGAAGATTTGAACGGCAGGTGCTGCGAACAGAGCGAAACCGCTGAACGTTTGCCACCGACGCTAATTATGCCAGTACGAAATTAAATCTAAGATGGATCGACTTGGGAGGGAACCTAACAGAATATGGCAGAAGGTGGAGCCAAGAGAGCAATGGAACCTAGCCACGATTTACGAGGACGTAACCCGTTAAAATTTCTTCGTTTAAATATAACGACAAACATTTGATTCGTTGGATTTGCTCGTTTTCAGTTCATACGAAAATTAAACTATGTAATGAGAAATTAAAAAATACTGAAATAAAATTAAGGATAACAGTAACAATGATATTTTTGTTTGCCTCGCCATCTCAAATGCCTCTGATATTTTTAAAAAATTTTCACGCAATAGGAAAAAGTGACCAAGAACATGATTTTCAATTGTTCAGAATTATAACTCAGCACAAATTAATTTGTTTTTTACAAGCTATCGAATGGCTCATCGCAAATTGAATTTGGCTCTAAAATATTCGATTTTGAAATTCTTTACTAATAGTAATTACCAAAAATTGAAAGTATCAATAAAAGTCTTCTTTGTTTGCTCTCTCGATCAAGTTGAACGTCGAACGTGTATAATTTATAAATATCGAGAACAAAAGATCTCTATAAAATAATTAAAGTTCTCAACGTTTCTATATGCAGATCTTCTTAGGAAAACGAACGTAATTTTGAAATATCAAAGTAGATTATACATAAAGAAAACGTGCATACATGCCATATGTGTATCGAATAGAATATTGCGTAAAAGTGAGATACAGTTAAAAACTGTTTGCAAACGTAACAAGCGAATACAAAATAAAAATGGAACGATAAAATGAATTTAAAAAGCATTAATTCTAACCATCTATCACAAGTAATACGAATGCATCAAGATCGTTATAATTTATCGAAACATTCATCGAAGCATTTTGAAACCTAATCGTGTGTAGAAGACACTATTTAACGGTCAAACGAGATCGATAGATCTAGCACATCAGCCCCCCGATCATCGACCAGGAAAGGTGTCGATGCATTTAAGGGTGCATTTCCCGTTAACGAAACTGGTAACCAGCGGTTTTGTAAAGGAGTTAATGTGGCAAGAGTCGACAACAGGTCGGCATTGAGGACCAGATTGCCAAGACACACCGGTTCATTCAACGAGCCACAACCCCTTATTGTCAACCACGCAACCGATCTTCCCTGAGGAACCATTCATCCTTTAGAAAAGAATGAAAGTTCTCGGTCAACTCGCTCACATCGCGGGCGATTAATCAATCTGCCGTTAGCCATGTATCTTGATTCGTTTAGAGCACGTGGCGATAGTTGGCACGAACGTTGCGAATATTTGGGCGAAACCAGCTCTAACAAGAGGATCTCACGGTAGTGGGTACAAGTTCTACACCTACTATCAAAAAACCCTGAAGGGATTCTTTAAAATTGGCCTTCGTTTTCGAGATATTTTTATTTCAAGTTTTGTACGCACCGAACAAATGAATTATTCAACACTCATCAATACTGAACCAGTATGTACTACCTACAGATTTTTAGTCAACCGTCGACTTACTTAAAACTTGTTCTAGTGAAGAATGTTAATTCATTCATTTACTAAGCGCGTACAAAGCTTTAAATGGTAATATTGCGAAAACGGAGACCCATTTTAAAGAAACTGTTCAGGGTTTTTTTTGATACTAGGTATGTACTACGAGATGTGTCTATTAAATAACGGGACTGGCACTCTAGAACATTTTATTTTGATTTCATACATATTTGCTTATTATCACCTTATCCCTACAACGCTCCATGCGAATCTTCCATTGTTCGAAACAGTGCTGGAAGTCTTCTTCCGTCAGCTCCTTCAGGACGCGTGTCGCTTTTTCTTTCACAGCTTCAACGGACTCGAATCTTGTTCCTTTTAATGCAAATTTTACCTTAGAAAACATCCGGATACTCGTATGATCCTGAAACGAAGCG